GGAAACAGCCTCTTCGTCGGAGCATTTCTACTGATGGTAGAGCGTGGCTTTTAACGTTGCTTCGCAAAGACGGCCGTTAACATGATTAATCCTGCTTCAACTTCATGCACAGAACTTCAGAGCAGAGCTGAGCTACAAACAGTAGAAAACTATGCTTAAATCAGGTGTTTGCAAGGCAAAGGCAGGCGGTGCGAGTGGCAGGGTCTGATTTCTGGCCCCTGTGCTGACATACGACAAATGTTCTGTGGTTGTTGGCCCAGGCTATAGGCACCCAGGCTTGCTGAGGCTCATCCTGCATTTGTAAGGCCAGGAATAAGGGGTGTGCTTGAAGTTTGCAACAAAGGTAATGAACGAAGAGAACATGCTGCATTTTGGGAGTTTCCTTCTGGAAATCTTAGACGTATGGTTATTGAGACAACTTCCAAGTAAGGATATTAAAAAAGAGGTGACTGGTGCTGCCAAGCCTGTACAAACCAGGCTTTGTGGCAGCGATGGGAGGGAAGGCGCTGGGATAGCTACGTAGATGAGGACGTTCTTTTGCTGGTCTCTAGCATATATGTGCTAAGTAGGAGTAAAACGCAATGCAAGCCCTACTTTTTGCTTAAACTGTGCATTTATACTAACATAAGCGCTGATGTCATTACATGGGTTAAAACTTCCCTGCTCTGCCAAAGGTGCTAGGTTTCTGGAAAGCTGGGGAGAAGCAATTTATTGAGTGGTGGCCAAGCGCAGGAAATTCATTTCTGGTTATCAGTACAGCATCCATCTGCTTTGACTGATGGGAGCTCGTTCTCCTGCACCTGCAGAAGGTTAAACTGGTCCCACTTCTCTAGAGCCTGCTTATTCCCTAAGTGTAACTGGTGGCAGGTGCGTACCATGATACGTGGGTAAAGAAGGCTGCATGGGTCGAGCAATTGCTGGTGAATGCAGGTGCCCCAAGGGAAAGCATCCACGTGAATTTGGGTTTTTTGTATTTTTTTAAAAGTTCTCATTCCACCTCTTTCCGTCTTCAGAAGCAGGCAAAGCCCAAGTAAGCTACCTGAAATCCCATATCTTCTCACGTTAGAATGAGTGGGCGCTGGAGGAGGTGAGCTGGCGCTTAATGCCTGACCTATGCCGTGCGCTTCCCTGCGGGGAGTTAGGAGCAACGGATAGGGACAAGCCTGGGGAAACACAAAGCAAGAAGAGGTGGAATCTGTACTCAAGCCTTTGGAGGCACAATCCCTTCGAAACCATCCCTGTTCATACAGAGGGGTTATTGTCTGCTGTCTCCGGTACATACCTGTGTGTAAGCTCCTTTATGTTCTGCAGGCCTTACTGCTCCTGTAAGTGAGCTGGAGTTACTCTCTTTTGCAAAGAGACGCTGTGAGAGAGCGTAGTCGTTGCACAAAGCCAAGAGGAGAGGAAGAAAGAGACAGGAATTACTTAAGCTGCTGTTTGCCCTGAGAACAAACAGTTACAATTGGGCTGTGAAGTGCAAATAAGGTTTCGAAATCCCTGAGGAGTTGCATCTGCAATAGCTTTTGCAATAAGAGTGCTGGGGACACATCCCCCCTTTCTGGTTTTAAATGAGAGTTTGAGAGGTGGTTATTTGACATGGCAGCTTGGGATAGGAGAGGATGGGACCAGAGACCTCAGACATCAGTGTCTTTCTCGGGCCTGGGATGGGGAGAAGAGTCCTTGGTTCGCATCCAGGCCAGGTTCAGGATGGAGATGATCACGGAATGGCTGCTCAGGGGACTCTGCAGGGTGATTATAGCGCTTGGTCTGTTTCCCGGTTTGCCAGCGTCATGTCACAGAAGCAGCTTTGTGTAGATCCTGGTGCACGTTCTTGTTGGCTGGTGACTTTGGGTTAAACTTGAATGTAAATTCTTGGCTCCTCCTGGAGGCTTTTCCTTTTGATTCTGGCAAGGGGAGGATGGAGGCACATTCCCTCTGATGTGCACAGAGACCTCTAATTTGTGCTTTCAGTTTGGTGTCTTTTATGAAGTGCTCAGGAAGAGGATGTCAATAGAGTAATTCTGTTTTCTGCAGCGTTTTTCTCGTGAGGGGGAATTAAGCTGCGTTATTGCTCTTTTCCAGGGTTCCTCTCTGGCACTGATAGAGTTAACAGAAGTGGAGTCATTTCGATTCTGTGCTGCTTGCTGCTGTGTGTCTTGGAAAAGCCAAATGCTCTGGCAGGCCTGCGTGCTGTGTCCTGGAAAGCAGGCTCGAGCCCTTGGGGTGCGCTCGGTAAAACTACATTATGGTGGTGGCTTTGACAAAGAGCCCTCCTTCCGTCTGCCCAAGGAATGCATGTGCTACAAACGTCTCGTTTGCTTCTGTCGCTGCTGCCGAGAGGGTGATCTGTCCGTGCCGGGGTGGGACAGCTTTGCAGAAACGCTAGCAGGCTGCTGCGCTGCCCGAAGCTGTGGAAGCTGCTGGGAATAGGGATGGCAGAAAGGGATGCTCTGTGCAGCTTTCCAGGCTTGCTGCATTCCAGCCAGCCTAAAGGTCTCAAGCAGCGCTGGAAACCCAGTGTGCTAGGAATTATGTGCGCAGTGGGCACCCTGTTCATCCTGAATAGGAGGCAGTCCCTACCCCAAACAGCTAACTGTCTCGAAAGCAAGGACAGATTCAGGCAAAATGCAAACCCAGAAGTGTGCCAAGCGGTAGGCTTGGCAGCATCACTCCAGTATCTTCTGCTGTTGGACTGAGATGCTTGGCCTGAAGTGCTGACACATGTATGTAATTTGCCCCTTCTTTAACTCCGTGCTCATCTCTCTGGGTGTTTCTTCTTAGATCTGCTCCATCCTCAATCGTGACTAGCTAAACATAAAGAATTACTGCTGAGTAATATCTGCTTCTTGCTCCGCAGAGTACAAAGTGTTATGTCTGCAGTTCCTCCAGCTCCTCTTCACGTGTAGAATAAGAGCCTGGCTCCAGGAAACACAGCATTTGGTGTTGCAGTGCAAAGCCATGTGTTAGGCTTACAGCTACACTGAATTTCTGGCTCTCCCTACCTCTGAAGTGTAAATAAATACACCAGAGTGGAAAACCCCTAAACCTTCGGTTCTGCATTTTATGTATTTTGGGACAAGATGAGTTAATGTTTTGATATGTAAACGTAACTGGTATTGTTCCTGTTTCTTACTAAATACCGGTCTAATGCTTTTGGTCTAGTGTTTGAAACCAGGACTTTGATTGTTAAAATCTGGCATCCCTGAGGCATAAGCACAGCTACGAAGATGGCTCTTTAGACAAGTCATTCAATGCAAGGCTGCTGTGAGCTTCAAAGGCGCTGAGCAAATTTCCCCTGGGAATGACAGGGCTCAGCACTTTTGCATATCCAGACTCTCAGGTTCTTCATATCCCTGTACAGGGTAGGATTGGTGCTGTTTAAAAGTGGCGTATGAACTGGCTGGGGAGGAAGAGAGACCCAGTTGTCATTTTGAAAAGCTTTTCAGGGCAGCTTGCCCTGAAGCGGTTTTGTTTTCAGAGCTGGTGTTTGTAGGGTTTGTTCTGAAGTTGCTAGAAAGAATGAGGATGTCTGCAGAAAGGGCGGCTCTTGTTTTGTATCTGTAGGTGCTGTTCTGTGCTTATAATTAGGGGCTGGACTGTGCTTGGAGGGGAGGAGGAGTTTGGAGTGACTACTTTTTGCTTGTCTTTTGACGTTAAACCTTGCAGAGAGAGACTGTAAAACATCAAACCTTGGTTTGTCTCTCAAAATGTCAGATAGCTGCTCCTCACTTTACTACGTTGTTCTTCCCTGGCTGTAGGCACTGGCTCCTTGATCACTGGGGAGAGAGCAAGGCTGGTTTGCCAGCCTGCCTCTGCGCAGAGCCTTGGACCAGAAAACATGCAGCAGCTTGGGGAGACGGATCTCCCTTGAGGAGCTTGCCGGTGGAAAGGGGCTGGGAGTCAGCAGGGAAGCAGGTAGCAGTGAAAAGACGGGACTGGTTGAAGTAAAAAAAAACCAAACCTGCTGCACCCTCCAGAAAAGGTCTTATGAGCTGCCCTTTTAACAGTGATTTCTCGCCTGTCTTTGGTGATCAAGAGTTGTTAGGGATGAGTGTGACAGAAATAAAAATTACATTAAACCAGGAGAAGAGGTCCTGACTTAACACAGTCTGGACACGGACAAAGATTTACTAGAGCATCTTTAATCTCTGAAATCATTCAGTTAAAAGTAATCATTCCTTTAGATTTTTGTTGATGCGTGGCTCTTACCGGGGTTATGTCCCTTTGGGGGTTTTTGTAGGAAAACGGTTTGTGTAATCTCTGTTCTTGACAAAATGAAGTAGCTACCAAGAAAGGAGGTGGAGGTGACATCTACTGGGTGTCTTCACACAGATTAGATAAGATGGTGCATTCAGGTCAGTGAGGTTCTCTCAAGAGGGGCTTGCTTTAGCCACTGAGGCAAGGGCATCTTCAGCTATGTATTTATAACTCTGATAAGGTCTTTGTTTTCAGCACAGTGGTACAGAGCATCTTCATGGGAAGATGAGATGACAGTGTGAATACCACAAACTAAAATCATGGATTGAGCCCTCTCTCTTCCTGTTGTGTGTTAGATATGTTTAAAAAGCAAGGAGGTCTGAAAGGTGGTTGGCTCTGCATACTTTCTGAATATAGTTGTATTTTTTAATACTCTCAAACTTCCTTCTGCAAACTCTAGACCTGAAATCTTTATATTTTATTTATTTTTAAAATGAAAACAGAGCCTCTCTTGAAATCACGTGACTCTAGAAGCTTGAGATTGATAAAAAACCCGTGATTGCTATGGAAACTGGTAAAATTGCAAGTCGTTATGCCTCCTTTTGTCCAGTCATCGCTTCTCCACGGGGTCTCTATGGGTGCCACACAGCTGTCCCCATGTGGAAACGGATAGTCAGCCCCGCAATGAGTCTTGATTGTGCAAGGTCATTCTCTCCAAACCAGTGTGATTAAGGGTTCAACTAACTTTTTTTCTGGTACCTTTCCAGGCTCCTGGTCTGCAGCACCATGCTGGATCCCAAGCCTCACTCTGCAAGTCAGAGGTGAATCCAGGTGAAAGCCAGCTATCACAGTAGGTGTCAGGATGACCAAAGCACGGCTCCTCCGTCTCTCTGTGGTGCTGGTCTCCATCTTCATGATCCTCCTGATCATTGTGTACTGGGACAACGTGGGAACGGCTCACTTCTACCTGCATACGTCCTTCTCCAGGCCTCATTCCCCAGGAGCCATCCCTGGTATCACGGCAGGTGAAGACTGGGAAGCCTTGCCAGATGTGGATGAATTTTTGGCAAAGCTGCTTAGTTCGAGCCTGAAACAGAATAGCTCTATCCCCCGAAAGACAGAGCAGCTACTGGTCCAGGGCTCCAGCAAGCCTGTGGTGAGCAATTTGGAGGAGAACGTGCGGGGCTACGACTGGTCTGCACACAATGACAGAAACAGCTTGGACCAAGAGAAACTGCAGATAGAGAGGCAGAGAACGTTACGGGAGTTTTGTGCCAATTCCAGCTTCACCTTCCCCACCAAGGAGCGCTCCTTTGATGACATCCCAAACTATGAGCTCAACCACTTGATTGTGGATGACCGCCACGGCATCATCTACTGTTATGTCCCCAAGGTGGCCTGCACCAACTGGAAACGGGTGATGATTG